AAGTCTGAAATAACTAGTAAGAAATAGAGACAGAGCCAGAGATTAGATATAAAAGGGGAGCGCCTGATAGGTCTTCCAGTCCTGATAAGAGCTGGAACTGAACAACTAAAAAAGGGGAGTACATTAAAGGCAGGGATAAGGTCTCAGCGGGAGGAGTCTTGGGTGTTTGCTTCTCTGAGTGGCCGGGGTCTTGCAGTAAACAGGTTGATTGGCATTTTGGCAAGCCACACCCATCTCCGAGAGGGCTGTGTGGCTCCAGCAGGTCACCCATGTCTGGCGCTGTGCTGAACTTGAGATGGAGCTAGGCAGAGCCACATGAACCAGGCATTCTCAAACCAGTGGGGTTGCTGCTAGGAGTTCCTGATACCAGGCTTTCCTGCCTAATGGCTTCAACATCACTTTAGTTCACGTACACGTCTCAGTTCACATATGGGTCATTGATGGCTTCTGGCAGAGGCGCCCACTTAAGTTTGGCCCCTACCATCCCTCAGAAACTGGGGGATGGTGCTGTTTACCTTGATGTGTGTTCTTTCTTTCTTTCAGTGTGATTTTATATATTTATTTTTAGTTTCTATTCTTTTAGATATATATGATGATAGAGTGTATTCTGACATGTTATGCATACATGGAGTATAACTTATTCTAATTAGGATCCCATACTTGCAGTTGTACATGCTGTGGAGTTTCACAAGTCGTGTGTTCACATATCAACATAGGAAACTGATGTCTGATTCATTCTCCTGTCTTTTAAAAAGTATTTTTTAGGTTATAGATAGACACAATACCTTTATTTTTATGTGGTACTGAGGATCGAACCCAGTGCCTCATACATGCAAGGCGCGTGCTCTACCACTGAGCCAGAACCCCAGCCCTCATTCTCCTGTCTTTCCTATTCCCATTCCCCCTCCTTTTCCTTCATTCCCCTTTGTCTAATCCAATGAACTTCTATTCCTCCCCACACACCCATTGTGAATTAGGATCCACATATCAGAGAGAACATTTGGCCTTTGTTTGGGGGATTGGCTTATTTCACTTATGATAGTCTCGATTTCCATCCATTTACCAGCAAAAGTCATAAAGTCAGTCTTCTTTATGCCTAATTAATATCCCATTGTGTATATATACCCCATTTTCTTTATCTGTTCATCTGATGAAGAGCACCTACGTTGGTTCCATAGCTTAGCTATTGTGAATTGAGCTGCTATAAACATTGATGTGGTTGTGTTACTATAGCATGCTGATTTTAAGTCCTTTGAGTATATGCTGAGGAATGGGATAGCTGGGTCGAATGGTGGTTCCATTCTACCATTTCTGAGGAATCTCCAAAGTGCTTTCCAGAGTGGTTGTACCAATTTGCAGCCCCACCGATAATTTATGAGTGTAACTTTCCTCCACATACTCACCAGATGTTTACTTTACAAACAGGTGGCTCTCTGGGACTTCAGAAAGACATTCCTAGGTCACAGAGTTGACAGAATGCCAATCAAATATTCCAAAGGCTTTACATAATTTTAAAGAAAAAAGTATTTATCACTTTGAGTGTTCTAAAATAAGTGCTCAAAGAAAAAAGGGGGAAAGAAATCAAGAATTAAACCTCATTTTTAATTGGTACTTGTCCCTACAGCCCACAGTAAAATAATTAACTAACTTAGTAGTGCTGGGGATGGAACCCAGGACCTGTTGCACACTAAGCACATGCTCTACCACTATGAATAGTTCATAAGACGATGCATATGAAACCCATCTGGGGCCTCAGACTTTGGGATGAGCACAGGTGAGGGATGGAATGAAAGGTTCCAACCAACCCCGGCAGCCTTTGGCTCCTACAGTGGACTGTCCGTACTGGGCACCTCTTTTCCAACATAACCCCTTCTCTCTCCGACTCACTTCTATTCACGAGCAGGCAAGCAGGCAGCTCCTAGGCAACCCCCTTCTCTTTCCTTCTCCTACTGGCTCCAGGACTCTGATTTTTGTTGGGGTCACTGCAGTCCTTTAGAAGCCCCAGTGAAGTCCTTAATTGACCCCTTAACTCTGGAGGCAACCAGTGTCAGAGAGGACACAAGCCTGCCACTGTGGTCGGGCACTGTTTTGGTCACTTATTAGCTCGAAACATGGCCATGACCTGTACTCTCTTTCCTGAGCTGATTTCTGTATTGTTCTGTCTGAAAAGAGGATCTGTAAATGGCCAACACCATTACTGCAGCTTCTTTCTCTAAAATGCTACCAATTTCTAAATGTTTTTAACTGGGTGGCTTCCCTTTCTAATTAATTCAAGTGGCCTCTTCCCTGGTAATAGTGCCTATAATTATGCCTCAACTCCCAGAAGACTGTTTAAATTGGGGGATATACAAAGTGACCTTTTTTTTTTTTTTTTTTTAAACCACTGTTGTTTTTCTGGGCTTGTGCAGAGGAAGAGAAAAACCTTGCCCCACAGATGCACAGGGTACTTAAGTCTGGGGGGGGGGGGGTGTTCCCTGACATACATGTCTCCTCTGTTCACTTCAGCCCTGTGGAGAGTAGCTGAGTTAGTGGGTGCAGGACCAGTGAGCCTGTGTTTGGTGATGTGTGACACTGTAGGAGGTGGGAGACGGTGATACTGTCATTATTGAAAATCACTTCCACCCACTTAGGCTGAGTCACTGGGACGTCACTGCTTGGGATTTTGCATCAGTCTCAAAAATATCCTTCTGCGAAGCTGACCTTGCTGGGTGGCACACTCTGCCTCTCTCGGGAGGAAGGTTGAATACATCTTCTACCCCAGTGCTCCCCTGCTTATCCTGATCACGTGTTGCAGCTCTTGTGTGGCTCACTGGACATTTCTAACTCTAGTTCTGTGGGAAGCCATGAGAGTGTCCCCACTTTCCATTCAAGAAAATGAAGATTCTAGGAGGCCAAGGACTTGACCCCAGCTAATGAGAAGAACTGGACCACGATCTACCTCCTGGCCTAATCCTGAGTAGATGGGAAAGAGGGAAAAAGGATGAGGGAAGGAACGGAAGGTTCCATCCTTCTCCAAAATGTACTGGCATTGGGACAAAACCCACCGTGGCTGACATGACCCAGCCACTACATTCAATGACAGATGTCTGAACAAACCAGACCCTTTTCTCCCCTCCTCCTTTTATTTCAGATCTTGAGTAATATCCTCTCCCTATTCCTCAAATCTGGGGGCGGGGGGGGGGAATCTTCCTATAAAGGCTTGACTGGTTTCCAGAATACTAGGAATGGTTCAGAAGGGGCAGTGGGGCCCAGTGGTCCCAAGAACACAGCTTTAGTCCAGTCAGACTTGCCCAAGACCCCTGTGACTGTGAGCAGATGACTGACTCCACCTCTAGTGTCTTACCATCATGATTGTCACAGGGCTGTTCTCAGGATTAAATGTGACAATGACTAAAGCATTTAGCACAGGGCAGGGCACTATATAAATGCAGGTGGTAGTATTGTGAACTTACGTTATCTCATGCTACATTTTTGGTAGATGCTGGATACTGTAAACAATGGTTCTGGGCCCCCTTTGTAAGCATTTCTATGATGGCTTTTTTTTTGTTGTTGCTAGAGATGGAACCCAGGGTCTTAGGATGCTCTACAACTGAGCTACAGCCCCATCCCTAAGCATTTTTTAAAACTCTCTCTCCAGTCAGGCTACCAAAACAAATCAATAATGAAAACATTATTTTACATGGATCATATGGGTGCCTGGAGCCCCCTACTGTTGGTAAAGCCCCAACTTACCTGTTTTCTTTTTTGTTGTTGTTGTTGTTCTTTTTGGTATTTTGTTTTGTTTAATTTGTTTTTCATTCAATTTCCAGATAAACTCTTGGGGTCCTTCTATGAAGAATCCTAGTGAGGCTCAGGAGGATCAGTTAACCCATCCCACACTGCTAAGAACATAAGGAAACCTGCCCTCTCCATGATAATGGGCCTCCCCTACAAGAGTAGGAAAAGATGGGTTTTCTCATTGCTTTTTGATTATTCTAGTGTCTTCCCCCCACACCCCAATAAGAGCCTCCATTCTCGCAATGAGTTGAGAATCCTCTCACTGCACGTCTGTACTGGAAGTATTGATACCGCCAGTTACTGGTGACGAGTCCTGCTTCCTCACATGTTGAAGTATAACATTAGAGAAGCAAGCCGAGGCAAGCATATAAAGCAGGGTTTATTTTAAAAGGGGTAGGGGCTGGGGTTGTGGCTCAGTGGTAGAGCCCTCGCCTAGCATGCGTGAGGCACTGGGTAAAATTAAAAGTATTATGTTCACCTATAACATATGTATATGTAATAAGTAAATAAAAAGGGGTAACACAGACTTCTCCTGGGAGGGAGAAGGGGTCCGTAGCTGGAATCCCAAGAAGTGAGCACATTCTGCCTTTTTTTTTTTTTTTTTATATGTCCTAGGCTTTCTTTGTTCTCCTGCTCTCTTCCCCTCTGTCTCCTTCCTGACTAGGCCCAGGAAATGCTTGGTGGGACGGCCAAAAGAGAAGCAGATGGGCTAGAGGAGCCAAGTTGGAGTTATCTGGGCAGGAAAGGGGTATAATTAACAACTCCCTGTAGGGAGGGACAATCTCTGAGACAGATTACCTTAACCACAAGTTGGAGCAGGGGCAGGTTATCTTGATAAGGCTTCCCAGACCCATAGTGGCCTTCTTGATCATTCTGACCTGATTTACCTATCTATACTGCCTGCCTCTTTTAATTCTGGCTTCAGTATCTTGGGGCTCTTTGCTATATGGAAAGAACCAGAACTACCTAAATGTAAGGATGGCCTTAGGCCTGAGGCTAAGCAACTCCATTTTAAAATAAACCTGCAGTCTCATCAGGCAAGCCACAGAGCCTTCCAATATGTCAACAGGCATAGCCTGATAAAACAAGTCACTTTCCACAACCCTGATAAGAGTTGGGGTGACGTCACATGTCATTTATCATGACCCTGATAAGAGCCAGAAGGGTAATATCAGGGTGGAAACCACCAGACCATATGTCCTCACTAAGATGTAGGATGTCACTAAGAAACCTGGTAACAGCTGATAGGTACCAAAAGGGTGAGCAGAAGCCCCCCATATTTAGTGTAAATAATGGAACAAATGAACAGACATTCAGCCAGCCGATACTGATGCACACATGCCGGAGAGCCTGATGAGAACCTAGACTGACATCCCAACTTGTCTCATCTGCCTGATCCTCTGCATCGTCCTCACCGCTCTCAAACTCTACAGCAGCCTCTTGACCCTGGTGAGAAAGGTGCCTTCTCCTCAGGCAGCCGTCAACTCCACAACAGGAAAAGCCTCCATCAGCTCCTGACTCCATCGCTGCGGTCTGAGTGAGTGAGCATCTGCTGGACTTAAGGCCTGAGACTTAAGATTTAAATTGAGCACTTAGGCTTAGCATGCAGAGGGAATGTCTGTCATGAGCCTGTCATGATTAAGAGTGTTTGCAGTGCTTAGAGTAACTTAGAATTTTTTGCTTTGACTTGATTATATCTATTGCAGTGCCCAGGATTAAGGATTGTCATTTCTTGAAGGACCTATAGAGTGAAATTATATTGAGTGATTCTGACACTCTTTATTTCTTCTCCTCAACTGCATAAGTTGCACTTTTGCCCATTGCAACAGCAAAGCAGATGTCTCATTGTCCCTGTTCTCCCCACTTTTGTACCTCCCCCAGCCTGTATCTTCTGGAATGTTCTAATTGCAGGCAGCATAAGGAATCTAGTCCCATGATGCTGGGAAAGGTTGGGACAGAGATGTCCCATCTGCCCAAAAGAGGCCTGCAGAGAGTTCAGACCAGCACTCCCACTGCTGATGAACCACTCAGATGTTTGATCACCTGGGAACTATCACAGAGCACGACAGCCACAGACGGACACTGACATAGCTCTTGCTTTGTGAGAGTCTAAGCTCTCTCCAGGTTCTGGGGTAAGGAATGATATCAGGTGAAAAGAAGTGGGAGGGGGAGATCTTTCTCTTTCATGGAACATCTGTGGAACCCTTCCCCATCTCCTCCGAGTTCCTGCTTCCCAGCAACTTGGCTTTTCTGAACCTGGCATCTCTAAAGTATTTCCTGACAATGCCTGTTGCCCCTCCCTGGCATCACCACCAGATCTTCAGTTGGCACTGAGGTCGCCTCACTGTTCTCTGGATCATCAAGAGCCTCCCTAACATAAGCTGCCACTTTTCATGTCCTCTGGCTGCAGTAGAACATAAAGGTCCTCAGTCCACAGGAAAGGATCACTAAGTACCCCCAGGCTGGAGGGTAAACCATCTTTTGAGTCCTTTCAATATTGCTAAACAACAACAACAAAATTCATGAGGGGTCTGCACTTTTCATTTCTTTGTATCTCCAGCCACTAACAATGACCAGCACACAGCAGGAACTCAACAGATAAATGTCCATTCAGGAAATGGATGAATGATTTCATCATCAGACCTTTCTTCAAATGTATGAAGATTCCATATATAGTTGATGAACAGCTGATAGATATTTTCAACGAGAACCCACAGAAATAATCCAGTAAATGTCAACTGAGTAGATAGTGTGAAAAAGAAATATGTCGCCGTGGTGGAATCAATCCTTTGTCCTCCTTCTGAGAACAGTGTGAGGGCAGCTGTTACTGATCCTGAGAGATAGTTGTTCACAATCCTTTTTGAGTCAGAGATCTCATAGCAGGTCAGAATTTCAGAGACACACCCAATGGGGTCACCTCAAGATGATGGGAGAAGAAACAAAGTCTTAGCTGCCCCCAGCACCATCAAACCTCTGTGGTCCCCAGAGTAACCTCCACTCTACCCTGAGTCTAGCTTCTGGAGCCTGAGCCCCAGCTGCCACCTTTACACCCAAGGGAAAGACCCCAGGTGACAAAATGCAAAGGCGAGGTGAACCAACATGGAGCCGCAGGTTTTCCTGCTAAATCTGTTCCTCTACAATGAAGGAGGAAAATTGCCCAAAGGGAAATTCATGTAGCTGTGGCAGTGCCCTATCACAAAAGAAGATGGAGATACTACAGACGCCAACTGAGGTGAACACTTTTTAAATGACCTGTGATAAATGTATAGTTTTTACGAGCTATTTTACCAAGATTTTAAAACACAAATGCTAATTTCCTTTCATCTGCAATGGAGATACAGACATGCACCATATATTCAGTATCACTGTTGCTTTTGGGAGAAGGGGAAGTATTGCAGGATAGAAATGTGCCCAAGGCCAATTTCAAATGAGAGAAAACAAAACCTGTAGTTTAAAAACCAAACAGACTCAAATTTCATTGCCTGAAAATGGAAACTCAAATGAAGTAAAGAAAAATCCTATTGTCTGTGGAAATGTATTTTGAATTTTCAGGTTTTTCCAGAAATTTCTTCACATCAGTGCATGATATGCAGGCAACCTGAAAGGCAGCCTCTTCCGCTTTGCTGTCTACCACAGCATAGAATAAACCCAGAGGCAGGTTGGGACCTCCAATAACCAATTACATTGATCAAAGCTTCAGTCAGCTGGGCATTTGGAAGGACAATAGTGAAAAGGCATTTTTTCTAAGCATTCCTCATCCAAAGCAAAATGTGGTTCTGCAATCTGGCTGCCTATGTTACCTCAGGACCTGGGTTTTCTCCACTGATACTTCTGGAGGGCTAACTGGAGAACATGCTCAGGATTTAACTCTTTCCTTCCTCTTCAAGCCCAAACCATGGGTGACCCCCAGTTCCTACAATATGAGCCATCAGACTGGGACACGGTGGACTCTTAGCCGTAGGCCTGCCATCTGAAGGCTCCCTGGCAAAATACCAGCACAAGTGCAAATTTGGAACTGATGGTTTTCTCCACCAGTCTGAGTAGCCCAAAGAATAATATGGGTTGGAAATAGAACTCAGAGTCTAAGAATGCTGGTAGGTGGGATTCGGTTCAGTAGTAAATAAGGCAAGGCTGGTTGTCACTTTCCTATTTAAGACTCACTTTCTGAAAGCCAAACAGCAAGAGCGCTGCTGCTAAGTAAAAATAGATTTAAATAACACCATCATCTATATATGGTTCCACTTCCTTTCCCATTAAAAGGAAATAGCCCCACACTCCAAAATAAAATTAAGAATGAATAATTAAGCACACTAAATAAGAATGTACTAAATAAGTAAAAATAGAATACAAAATAGGGCATAAAAAAATCACAACTATATTTTACTCACACATATAATGCAATATATTACAAAAATAACGCACGGTGGGGCTGGGATTGTGGCTCAGTAGCAAGGCGCTTGCTTTGCACATGTGAGGCACTGGGTTCGATCCTCAGCATCACATAAAAATCAAATAAAAAATAAAAAGGTATTGTGTCCATCTACAACTAAAATTCATTTTTTTTTAAAATAACACATGGGATCACGAATTACTGATACTGTTTTCTTTTATGGGAAATAGAAATGACAGATAATGAAGCCGATTTGACTTGAGACATACTGAAGCACGGGTTCTCCGGTGCTTCAGTCTTGGCCTCACACTGAAGCACTTCCAGGCGAGTCCTGCACTAAGTGGCCACATCAGCTAACTTAACTCCAGCTCCCCTTAAGTCCAGGGAAAGAGGAAAATAAATAGTTACATTTCCATGTTTAAACATGTTATGTGTGTTCCAATCCGATAAGTCTCTTACCAAACATTCTGTGTGATTAATACAACCCGTTAGGTTTACACGGATGTGGGATGATATGCTTTTATGTATCCTAGATGCCTGTCTTAGGCTTCATAACTTCAGAAAATTTAGCTTCTAAATCCCTCCATCTAAATAGTATGACTTGGGATCCTTTATTGATAAATCTGAAAACCTCACAATGCCACATTATCTCTTAATAGTTTGTAATAAGAAGTCTAGATGGAATGAAATTCTCACCAGGCCACTTAGTAGCTGGCTAGTTTCCTCATTAAGTTGCAAAAGCACGGGGCACTGGAGAGAGCCTGCCAATGGAGCAGACAAATTCCTACATCAACATTCACAACTGTTCTTCACAGCTTAAGTTAATGAGAAAATGGCAAGAATAAACTTGAAGTGTTTGGTTCGTATCAGTGTTAAAATTACTTAAGATAATGTACACTGCAAGCTGGGCCTGGTGGTGCACAGCTGTAATCCCAGCAACTCAGAAGGCTGGGGCGGGAGGATCACAAGTTCAAGGCCAGCTGAGGCAATTTAGTGAGACCTGTTTAAAACATATATGCTTCCAATGCACAAAAGAAGACGTTCAGTCTTATTTAGCTTCCTTACAAAGTCAAGGAAAAAAAAAATACATTAAGTCACTGAGTTTTGAACTTTAGGGGCCACAAACCACAGTAAGAGAAACATTTCACATTTCAAAGCTTCTCCAAACCATGTTTGCCCTCACAGCCTGTATAGAACACCGGTGCTTTTTATTTTATCCTATTCTCTTCTACTCAGTTGTTTTCCTTTCTTCCTCCCCTTTCCATCCCTCTATTTCCTTCCCTCTTCCTTTTCTTTTTTATTAAGACAATACTGATTGCATCACAACCCCCTGATGGATCTTAGCCTGCAGTTTGAAAACACTGGACTAAATGGTAATTTTCAGTTAAAAAAATATCCTTTGTATTCATCTTTGTTAAGTTGAGCCTAATTGTGCTAAGGGGATGGACTAATTCCCAGTGTATTCAGTGGCAAAGCGCTTGGCTAGTATAAGCAACACCCTGAGTTTGATCCCTAGCACCAAACAAAAACCGGATTCCCACATTATAGACTGTATCACAAAATCGGGCTTTTGTGGGTTTTTATTACTTCTTCCTTTGCTTAAGAAAAAAAAAAAATCCTATTTTAATGAAGAGATGAAGCCTGAACTGGAGCTTGGTCTGTCCCACAGCTGTAAGCCCTCAAGGACCACTCCTCTCTCCCCACCCCAGGTGTCATCAGCAGATGCCCCCTTCCTGGTCATCCACATATACATGAGTCTATATAAAAAGATGAAGTCTATATAAAAAGATGAAATTTTCAGCCGTAAAGAAGAATGAAATTATGGCGTTTTTCAGTAAATGGATGGAACTAAAGACTATCCTGTTAAGTGAAATAAGCCAATCCCCAAAGGCCAAAGCCCAAATGTTGTCTCTGATATGCGAATGCTGACTTACCATAGCCAGGGGTACTCACTGGATTGGGCAGGGGGAATGGGAAGGGAGCGGGATGGTAATGGGAAAGACAGTAGAATGAATCGGACACAACTTTCTGATGTTCATATATGTGCACGACCAGCATAACTCCACATCATGTACAATCCAAGAATGGGAAGTTAGACTCCATGTATGTGTATGTCAAAATACATTCTACTGTCATGTATAACTAAAAAGAACATTTTTTAAAAAAAAGATGGAGTTTTGCTCTCTTTTAATAACATAGTTGGGTAGAGTCCAATATATGCTGTTCCCCAAATAGGACACATTGGCACTTGAGCAAACAGCAGAAGCAGTAATGTCACCTGACAGGAGTCTAAGGAGGTCCTTGTAGAAGGGCAGTGGAACCTCAACTTGGCCTTGGCAGGTTCTTGACTTAAGCCTCTGAAAAAGAATTTCAGTGATGCTTTGAAAGCAAGTGCAACATAAGATTTATTAAAGATAGTGCCACAGTACAAAGGTATACCCATCCCAAAGCAGGGTGCAGACATCCCTCACCTCAGGGAAGAGAAGTGACACGGGGCTCAGCGCTCTGGCTACATGTGATTTTCCTGGGAAGAAAAGTGCAGGTTCCCAGGCAAGCTTTTGTGAAATCAAATCCAATGTCAATTATTCGCTATTTGGGGATCAGAATTTTTTTTTTTTTTTTGGTTAAACGTTCAGCCATAAATCAGTTGTGGGCACGTTGTATGGGTCTTTTTTTAATCTGGTATACTATTTAAATTAATCATGTTTTTCTTCTAATTGATCTGGTATAAGCATATGCTGGAGGTTTTGTTCATCTAACTAAAGGGACAACCGTAGCTGGCCATGCAGATGCGGGGCTCCTTCTAGTAAGGGGCTCCTTTTCCCTCTCCCCTAGAGTCCACTTGTCTCAGTCAGGTCCCTCTTAGCCTCCTCCACCCTTCTTTCCTGAAGCAGGTCCTAATTCTGACCTCACTTTGAAGAAGTTCTCAAGACCCTGATGGGAGAGTTGCCCCGGAGGGGAAACAAAACATCCTTATCCCTGGACAGGAAGAGGAATCCAGTCAAACAGGCCTTGCCAAGTCTCCTCCAGGTACTACCAAACCATTGGGCCATACAATTATATTTCTTCGCAGCTGCTCACTCTTCAGCAAACAGCATAAAAAGACACAAGCTTATTTATTATGCGTCTCTGTCTACCTGATTTGTTTTCCTCCATGTTTATTTTTCTATTTGTCAGCTTCGTGTCTCCCAGTTCCTTTTTTTTTTTTTTAAATAGAACTGAGGTGTTTTTTTTTTTTTAATACACATAAAAGGGATAAAAAACTGGAATTAAAAGAATATTACAGAAGCTAACAAGGTGCTAGAGGCCTGTATGCAGAAAGGCAGGCATGAGATGGTAAGATCAGAGCAGATCATTCATATGAAGGGCAGAGGCAGCCGGCTGAGGAAGGCACAGATTTCCAGGAATGAGGACAGAGGCGTACAGGAGTCTAGGATGTTTGGAGATGGGGGTGTTTAGCACCTGGCGAGGAGTCTAACACCCAGTGGACCCCCAGGACTAACAAGCAAAATGCTTCCAACTAAATCCCAGTCAGACCATTCAGCAGAGGTGTGACCTTAGCAAGCCAACTAACTGCTGTGGTCTTGGTTTCTCCATCTGTGAAGGAGAAGACGAGATCTTGTGCAGAGAGCGAATGGGCAGGGGCTTGAGCAGTGAGTGACCTTGGGAAAAGGGGAGAAGATCTGAAACACTTTCTGTGGGGAATGGGAGACAGTTGAACAGAGACTGGTAAAATGAACATGTACGACACACAGCACAAGGGAATGCAGCCAGGACGTAAAGCCAGAGGATTGCAAAACTAAAATAATGCCATGGCTATGAACTGAGGTTGCAATTCTTTTCTTTGATTTAGCTTCTGTATACACCAAACAACAAATAATCCCCAACCCAGGGCTGGGCTGTGTGGTCACTGGGAAAGCAAGAGATGCCTGTGATCGTTCATCTTATGTGTCCACTTGACTGAGCCTTCAAGTTGGGACGTTGGCTCTTCCAAGTTCTATATCAGCTTCTGGCCTTCAGACTCAGGAATACTGCATGACCCAATTCCTTGTTCATATATATATATAATATATTGCATATATATTACATAATAAACATTATATACATGTATAAATACACAAGTGCATATTTACACACATACACA